GTCGGGAGCTGAATGCTGCAGGATATCACCAAACGTTTCTGCCTCTTTCTCCACAGCCTGCTGCACCTCCTGTGACCCCACTGTGCCCAACAAAAAGAACAAACGAACCCGCCTCTTCCCTACCCGGCTGACCCCCCCCCAAGTGCGTCGCACCACCTCCCGCGCCTCTGCATCTGCTGCCCCCGTCATAGTAATCAGCGCTACAAACGGGGGGTCTTCAGCGCAGCTCACTCTTGGGGTAATCAACAGCCGCCATCTTGTTTGCACGGGTAGCGAATTCAGCGACAACTGACGCTCGTCAGACCACCTCCAACCGTGCGCCCTCGACAGGGAGATGTAGATCGAAAGAAATGCAAGAAACACAAACCAACCCACGTGATACACCGAGATGCCGCTCCAATACCACCGTTCATTCACGTGCTTCTCCGGCTCAACTGGCTGCGCACACAACAAAGAAATGCGCACACATCGGCACACCACAAGAGCGTATGTCGATCCAGGGAAGGTTGCGCTGAAGCTGAAATTTGTTCAAGTGGTGCAGGGCGTGCAAGTATTACCATTCAATATATAGTAATATATCATCATAAGTGTGGCGTGTCATTCAAACGATTGCATATGGCATGACAGCATGACAATTCGGCAACACAGACAACACCCTCAACCGCAGAGCATAGCGGGTAGCAACTCTATTGAATGCATACATCGGGCGCAGAAGCTGCAGGAATAGTTTATATTATCATGTGCAGACGCAACAGCAGGACAGGAGGCTGCTGTTGCTTACTTTGTTGGGAACTGTTTGCCACTTGGGAGAGATGCTGACGCAAACGCTGGGGGAAGGGGGGCATTCATCTGCTTTTTCTTTGAAGTTGTTTGTTTCATCTGTGTTTCCGTTGACGCCCTTCACTGCAGGCGCCTTGCAGCAAGAATCTAGGTCTGCCATTGTGACTTTTGCTTTCAAACACTCCGGCGGTTTGGGACTGATTAGTGTAATCTCCGCCTCAAAGACATAAGCATGTCCTCGGCAGCCTTGTCTGCAACTTCATTGCAGGTCTCCACCCATGAAGTTTACTTCCTTATGTGCCTGCATGCTTATTCTGCGTCTATTAGCGGGGCACAGCAGCAGCTGTGATGGTGACGTTGGTCCGATTGACAGCAAGGACTCATCACCAGACGAGGAGTTCGAACATAAGAACTCAATGGATTTCAACAACTTTCGAGGAGAGTGGAATCATTGCAGCAGGTTCCCACGGTAAGACAAAACAAACCCTCGTCAGGCAACTGCCGCCGATTTACAGGTTCAAAGGGGTAAAAACCACATAAACGGTAAAAAATCCGTCAAATAAAGAGGAAGCAAAAGCTATGCTTTTAAAATTTCGGCCAAAAAAAAGGGACGTGTGGAATAAAGATCAAGGACCGTGTAGTGAACAGGGCGCTCCCACTTTATACAGTCCGCTGTATACCGTCTTGGGTGCACAGTCGATATACATCCGTTGTACAGAAGGTTTAACTCTTCTAGTATCCTTAAATTACCAAAAATCAGCCTCTCGTTATATCCCGATCCAATCCTTCTGAAAGGGGAAGGGATTAGTGATGATGATGACTCTCTGGCTGAAACCTTGCGGGCCACCGCCTCGACGCTCCGCCAGCCCCGGATCCTGGCAGCAGCAGAGAGCTCCTGGCCGGCCAACCTTATCTGCTGCCTAATGTTGCCGGGTTCATTTATAATCGTGTATTACTTGTTCCCTTTCTAGTGGATAGAGATCTAGGGGTCCAATTTGAGAGCAATTGTAGTGCCTGCGCACTACAACTTCTCCTCGAATTTCACTGGCCGCCTCATTTCCAGATATCGTAACCAAATATGCCCCTCTTGCCACTTTAGTTGTTCTGTGTCACCCTCTTTTGGCAGGTTCCCGCGGAGACTGAGTGGTCCGGCCTCCTGCGCTCCTGCTGCTGCCATTCTTGAAACGGCTGGACCTGTTGTGCTTTTTTGAGCTCTTCTGCTGGTCACCCTGGTATGCCTTTGCAGTTTTAGACTGTTCTGACCGGTGTCTTCCTTGGNATTCCATATACCGCCACGCACGCTTCCTGTCCAGGTGTGCATTCACATATACGGCTCACCCGTTCCTTTGTGTGAGTGCCCCTTTACTCGTCCCAGGCTTCTTGTAGATAGACTCCGCTTCTATCCAACAGCCTTTCCTCAGGGGCTTCTCTTATTGCCATTGTACATTTAACTGCCCTGGTTCTGATCGGAACTGGTGTCTGCATTTTGCTTGCCTATTGCTACGACTACGCTCATCCACTTTAACCCCGTATTGAGGGCGCATATAGGCTAAGGTTGATTGTCTAGCTGGCTGTTTCCCTGTATAGGATCGTGAAAGTAGTTCTTGCCCTGTGTACACTTTACTGTCTGTTTGAAAGTGACGTACTGATATTTATTGAGTAAATAGTCGATGAAAGTATTATATATTGTTTACAAGGAGCCGTATTGTATTGATTATGGGAGAGGCTGGCATGAGACGGCACAAAAGGCGTTGCAACATGCCAGGCCGTCTCTCCCAGCCCCGAGTCTAGTCTGGTCGAGGGCATATAAAAACAAGAGAAGAAACCTTCTTTAAGCTTTGTTGGCTTTATTATTTTGCTGGAATAGGTACGCTGTTTGAGTATCTGTAGCATAAGGGAATTTACTTGAGGGTGTCAGTCAACATATACATATGCCTACCGGCCCGTTACACTCAGCTGTAGTGTTCGAAGAATGCTCCCCACAATAGGCTTTCAGAGAAATAGCCTAATAATATTTCACGTTTATTGAAAATGCAACACTAAGGTGTAACATTCTGTATTAACGTGAACGAGTCCCTGCATAGCATTTGTGGGACTGAGGGCTCAGCCCACACATTGCACAAACGCAGACAAAAACCGACTGCAAGACCTAGTAGAGATGCAAGACACAGGGACGCGGAGATCGTTTGGTGCGCCCACTGGCAAGAGTTTGGTCAAGTTCCGAGGGCCCTATGTTCCCTAAGGCCCCAAGTTCCCCTTAGCTGGCCTGCTGTAGGGGAGTTTCGCGCAGCCGAGCAGCCGTCAGCGGGGCTGAGTGGGTCGGAGTCAGCAAAGTTACAACGAAAAGGGCTGGGAAACCGCAGTAAAAGGCAAGGTGAGACATCAGAGGAGACTACAGGCAAGAGGTGAATGATGTAGTATCGCATTGGTGGAGAGACATCTGTGTAGGAGACATCCCTATGAGGGTAGACGTAATGTGTAGTGTAGGATCAACAGCGGTCCTACGAGTCGAGTCATCTGGGCGTGAGTGCGAAGCGCTCTTGGATACTGGAACATCGAGATGTTTTATAAGTCCTCAGACAGAAGATCGCCCACAGATGAAAGCGCAGCGGCTCTCAGAGCCGGGTTACGGACAAGAAGCAAGTGATGTGGTGCCGCGGTGGGGGCAGAAGATCTGTACGAGAGAAGAGTTTGGTGAAGAGAGAGCGTTGAGTAATGTGAGAGCAGCAGCATTAGGCCGAGTGGATGGAGCTGAGAGCCCTTGTAATGCGCCTTTCGATACAGGGGTTTCGAGGAGTCTCACTTGGGCGAAGACAGTCGGACGACAACGGGCTAAGCCCGACACGTCGGGTACTCGCATGCGCACTACTCTCACATTCGGTGTCAGGTTACACAACGGTGTAGCTCACACACATGAAGAGAAAAGCGAATCATGCCGAATACATTCCAGACACGAAAAGTGGATCACTAGGAGGAGAGGTAGGAGGAAAAAGGAAAGGAAAAGAAGAAGGGAAAAGGAAACAAATAGATACAGTTAGAAAAAGAACAGAAAGCAAAGGAATAAGGATAATAATAGTAGTAAACATTATAGTAACTATTTTAATAGACGCTGGAGCAGTACAACGCATTGTAGAAGCTCCACTACCCTAGGACCGTGGAACCCCACCCACAAAGAGCCGAGTAGAAGAAGAACAGAGAAATGGAGAATTGGGAATAACAAAAGCTAGCGGCGCCAGCCTCAGTCCGCGAAGGGGGGACATTGTAATGCGCAGACAATGGAGCTCAAGTGGGACCTTCAGTGACCCTGTTAGATGACAGAGAACAAACACAGTACTAACCGGGATAAGTGGTAGCACTTTAGTTAAAAATTTAAGATAACTAACTCAAGAACGCTCGGTAGCCAAACCAGCTTAGGGCTGGCTAAGAGACTGCGGAGACACTGACTCACTCCAGAGTCAAGCTGAGACTTATCATTCTCGGGTCTCCTTTATAAGATTATTGGACCCAAAGATGTTTTAAGGACGAATACTTGAATATTTCAGTCCTAATAGTACGGAAAGGCTGGGTTTAGAGCATAGACGTAGAGCTTGAATCCAGGAGGGTTGGCGTAGGGTGCATACCAGTAACACCACCAGCAGTGCCCGCTGCTCACTCCAGTCGACCAACTGGTCCGGTCAGACCACATGGGACCACCGGCGCTTGCAGGTCTTCATTCGCGGCACACTCTGTGGGTTTTCATTGCTTTTGGATGCTTTTCTGAAGTGCAGATTACTTCTTGAATGTGTTTATATTCCTGTGTTATCCGCTAGCTACGCTGCGCTGACGAGCGACGTGGCCGGCGAAGATCCCAGACCACCCAGTTGTTGGCGGTAATCCGGAGAACTGGTCAGCGCAGTCAATTTCCCCTGAATTGAGAAGATTCCTTACTATCGTTTGGCCTCATGTTTCTCCAGCTGTGACTAGACCGCCTGTCGAACTACCCCACTCCGAAGAGTGTATTGCGACGGTTGTTGCGTTAGCAGCAGCAGAGGAAGAGATGTACTGGAAGAGGGTGAAGCGTCATAAGCCATGAAGAGAAGACAAAAAGATTCTAGTGAGTGTGGCTGAAGCGTCAGGGATTTGACGGCCGTCCGTGAACGACCTCGCTTGTCCGTGTTCTTTTTGGCGACTCTCAAGTCAGAAGGGCACGAATTTCGTTGTGGTCGGTCGACCGGCCTGTGTGTACTGAAAAGCCGTATTTAGACATGGCGGGGGTCGGCTTCCATATGCCACCTGCCTTGGAAAGCATCACGCAAACCATGGACGACGCAAACAGCTTTGAAGAAAATGCGGCCTGCAACACATCGCCTGATGAGGTGTATTTGCCGATTTCCGTTCCTCACGAACAGCCAAAACCCCAAAATGTGCGTAAGCTTGGCCGCAATGTACAATTTTTATTCTCCAACACTGCTCTGCAGTGCCCCCGCTTGGGACTAGCCGTGCAGGCTACAGCAAACTACTCTTTATTCTGCAGCTGAATCCATGCTGCATGCTCTACCATAGTTAGGCGCTTGGCAGACGT